AAGAGAGGAAAGAAGACCATTGAGGGCAACCAGAAAGAGAGTAGTGCTCAGAACACTTAGCAGTTCTCTTGTGCACTAGGAAGTAGTGTTCAAGAGGCAGAGAAAGTGGCACCAAGCCTCACTCGAAAGGAACGACGAGAGAGGAAGCTTTAGAGAAAGAGAGCGAGATTACCACGAAAGCCAAAAAAACGAAGTTGGGACAGAATATGGTATCTCCAGGTAGTGTCGTAAGCCTTTTCCAGGTCAAAAAGGACAGCAACAACGAAGGTCTTCGCAGCAAAAGCAGTACGAATAGTGACCTCCAAGTTCACCAGGACATCAGTCGTCCTATACCACTTGCGAAAACCTAATTGAGAAGGGGTTGAGGTGGTGGAAGCGTTCCAAGAACGACATCAGACGAACATTGACCATTCGTTCAAGTTTGCGGACAACTCTTAAGGGCAATAGGGCGGAAGTCCTTAAGGAATGTCCCGAGAGACCCTGGTTTCCGAATAGAGAGTCCAACGCCAATGAGCCGTTGTACAGACTCTGTAAATACTGAAACGTGCAAGGAGGGAGATGGTGAAGCATCTTATAATGAATGTCATCTGAGCCCGTTGCCGTAGAAGGGCAGGGCAGACAGAAGTTCAGAGAGAGAGAGAAAGAGACAGACAGAGAGAAAGAGACAGACAGAGAAAGAGACAGAGAGAAAGAAAGACAGAAAGAAAGAGACAGAGTGAAAGAAAGAGACAGAGAAAGAGACAGAAAAAGAGACAGAGAAAAAGAGACATAAGAGATAAAGAGAGAGATAAAGAGAGAGAGATAAAGAGAGAGATAAAGAGAAAGAGATAAAGAGAGATATATAAAGAGAGAAAAAGAGAGAAAGAAAGACAAAGAAAGATAGATAGAGAGAAAGATAGAGAAAGAAAAAAGAGAGAGAGAGAGAGAGAAGGGATCGTTATAGGGAAGGCGGAGATGAGTGCGGAAATCCAAGGGATGAGATTCAAGAACGGGCATATGAAGGAAGGAAGGATTGAGGAAGATGAGAACCAGAGCTAACAGTCGAAAAGTGGGAACCCAGTTTGATTGCGACCTGCACTGGGTCCACCACAAGAGTACCATCGGGGGTAAAGGACTGGCGAGACATCTGGAACGAACTTACCCGCTATCTTGCAGATTTTCTTTCAGATCGGCGGTAGAGGAATATCGGACATAATGATGGAAACATATGATTTCCAACTCTCACATTTAGCTGTACGGATGGTCCTGTGGGCCATCACATTTGCCTCTCGAAACAAAAATGAATCGGCTGTCTGCCGGTGCCGGTATTTCATCCAGGATACACGCTTACAGCGGACAGCCGGAGCACAGTCCGCATTCCACCAGGGAACGCACTGCCGCGTCCCCCTAGAGGTAGAGCGAGGAATAGAACGGAGGGCAGCATCGAAGACGGTGTCATGAAAAAGGAAGAGGGCGCGAGGGAGAGGCAGAGTGGAGAGGTCGGAGAAAAGCACGGAGGGTGAATAGGTTCGTCAGCCTTGGCAAACCGCCACCTAGGAAAGGAAAGGGGAGGGTGAAAAAAGAAAACGGTAATGAGGATGTGGAAATGATCACTTATGACCACTAATGACCATGAGACGACGAGCACAGAGAAAGATCAAGACAGGAAAGGGTGCGAGTTCTTGAGTCCACATGAGTGGGTTCACCAGAATTCAGGAGAGACAGGGAAGAAGAGAAGACGAATGGTTCGAGAAGGCGATCTCGGGTGTTTGTCAGAACATCACCCCAAAGAGTATTTCGACAGTTGAAATCACCCAACAGGAGCACAGGCTCTGGTAAGGAGTCCAATAGGTGCTTAAGTTCAGGAAGAGAAAGCTGGACATTTGGGGCGGAGATAATTGGAACAAACTGTATACCATTTACTCACAAATATATGGACCGCAGAACATTGGAAAGGCGACTGAACGAAGGGAATATCAGTACGAATCAAGAGAGCAGTAGAGTTATGGCCTCCAGCAAAAGAAGGGGACGGAGGGAGAGAAAAATGAATTACCACGAAAGTGACCAGGACGAGCACCAAGCATCGGCTCCTGGAGACAGACACAAATTGATGAAAATTTGAGTAATCAGAAGTTGGAGTTCATGGAAGTTGGCATAAAAGCCACGAATATTCCAATGAAGAATAGACATTGTCAAAAAGGAGAAATGACAGCAACAATGAAGAAACAAAGGGAAAGAAGAACACAGCATATTAAATAAGCTCAGGATCAGGGTCAGAGAAGTCAGGATTAGGGGGCATGGGTAAATTGAGTAAGGCATGAGTGAAGGGAGTGGGAAGACAGACCAGAGGCAGACGGGCAGGGTCCGGAGGAGATAACCGAGAGGGGCAGTCAAGGACAGCTGGAGGTAGGGGGGGGGGGGGGCGCGAGGAAGAAAGAGGTGCCTTCTTATCTGCAGGGTAGGAGGAAGGAGAGAGGCCAGGCTTACGTTTCTGACTCAAAGAGACAGGTGTTCCAGTAACAACGTACTGGGCGACAGACTCAATTGTCTCAACAGGAGAAGAAAAACGGGAACGAACAACATGAAGATTGCTGGGAGAATGATGGACAAGACAGACAGGGCCAAGAGACTGGGGAAAGGGATGAGAACAAGGAACGGAGGGAGATGGGAAAGAAGACACAGGAGACACGGCAGACTGGGTAGGAAGGGGGGAAACTTCAGATGGAGAACCAGGAAGGGGACCCTTCAGGACGGAATGTAAAGGAACAGGGGAGGCGGCGGAGGGCGTCTAAGGTCTAGTTCGGGGGTTCGGGTCTAAGGCCTGGAAACGGTCGTAAGACTGAGTAAGGTGGGAAGGACAAGGAGAGATAGAACGCAACACGCGAGCATAAGATACGCCAGCGAAAGGGGTGAGACGGCAAACTTGGAGTCTCACTTCAGGAAAAGACAGACGATCCCGGTGTTTCAAGTTGAGGACGGCTTCCTCGAGTTTGTAGTGTATACACGAGCGGGAGAAGGTAGAGTGGGCGTCACCGCAATTGAAGCAGCGGGCCTGGGGAGAAGTGCACTCGGACTTAAGAGTGATCATCGTCCCCACACATGGGGCATAGATACACAGTACTTGTGCATTTCAGGGCATTATGCCCAAACTTCCAGCATTTATTGCATAGTCTAGGAGAGGGAATGTACTCCTGAACGGAGCATCTGGCACCAGCAAGAATTATAGAGGGCAGAAGGGCCCTACTATCAAAGGTGATTTTCACAACTCGAAGAGGCTGACGGCGACGACCACGAGGGGGTCGAACAAACATGTCCACGTGGAAGACAGAATGGCCTTGGGCTTCATGGACATGTTTAATATCCTCGTGGCAGTTTTTCTGGTCCCTAACACCAGTTGCAACATGGTGCGGGAGGATAACAGTGCCAACACTGGCATTTAATCGAGCGTTTCCCAATACAGGACAATGCGGCTAAGCTGGTAGCTGCATCTTGATAAGGATCAGCGATGACATGTACCAAGCTTGGTGGGGTTAATAGTAACAGAGGCATCTACCGAATCAACAAGGTGTTTATGGAGGGAGAAATTGTCAGGAGTAGAATCCAGATGTTGGAGTTAAAAGTATTTAGCCCATGTAGCAGGACCAAACAAGGCGTGGTACATACGAGTATGGGAAGGGATCGTGCGAGTGCAGCCGTGGCGAAGACGGCGTTGAACCCCCCCCCCCCCACACACACACATACGCAGGCTATATAACACAAGGGGCACACACACTAGGGGACACAGGTGGAAACCGAGTGCCCAAACGAGCCACAGAGATATTAGAAAGAACTTTTTTAGTGTCAGAGTGGTTGACAAATTAAATGCATTAGGCAGTGATGTGGTGGAGGCTGACTCCATACACAGTTTCAAGTGTAAATATGATAGAGCCCAATAGGCTCGGGAACCTGTACACCTGTTGATTGACGGTTGAGAGGCGGGACCAAAGAGCCAGAGCTCAACCCCCGCAAGCACAATTAGGCGAGTACAATTAGGCGAGTACAGACAGACAGACAAACTGACAGACAGACACAGAAAGAGAGGTTAAAAGGCACAGTAGTCACATTGAGAGATGGAATTGTGCCAGAGGACGAGGTAGTCGCCGCTGGGGGCTTGGGGCTCGTCCCTACCATAGAGGGAGGGAGGGGAGAGAGGAGGTGGGTAGTAGTCCGGTCTGGGCCCAGTGTTGTGGGGGCTACAGAACCCGGTCTTCCATCACAGTTCGACGCAGGGGCCTGATCGCCCACCCCATGAGTCTGGGTAAGAGGTCGTGTCAGTATCCATATATCATGTATTTTAAAGTGTCTGGTGGCCTGAAACCAAGGAATACCACCTACCAGGACAGCCAGGGAGACTAAACATGGGCCAGTGCAGGAAGGGGTGCGTAGTGCTCAGCGGACCTCCCTTTTTTAACAGTAGAGTCTTACTGTTTCGTCCATTCTCCTACACTGGTTCAAAGACCTTATTCTCCCTTTCACCCCAGCCTGGACACCCAGCCATCAACTTGGGGCAGCCCTTCACGGGCGACCCCTCCAGTGGGCGGTCCGATGACTCAAGTCCCTTACGTTTGTGTTCATTTGCATGTACAACTCCCAAAGAGGGACAGGAAAGGGGCGGAGGCATCCCTCACCGGTCCCAGAGAGGTGTACACGAGCCCCCTCACCACGACAAGGAAACACAATGGAGGGAAACATTGTAAGAAAATTTGACAGATTAGTAGATACAATAAAGTAAAATTTAAGGGTTATAAACAAGTACATGGTAGCATAATTTGAGAACTATTTCAAGGTGTAATGCAATAAGATATGCGTCAATATAACAACCACGATATAAGGTGAAAACAATGATGACAGTGGTAAAGTTGTATGGCTTAGGTACATAGTGGGGGATTGGGTAGCACTAGATATAGTGAGAGTTTAAAGCACTAGATATAGTGAGAGTTTAAAGCACTAGATAGGAAACTATGAAGATGAAATTAGGTACTTTTTTATTTTTATTTTTGAACAAGGCAATAGTTGGATAGTTTTTCAATTATAATTCAAAGTTTTGCGTCTCCCAACCAGTTCAAAAGATACTCATTTCACTTACATTTTGCTCAATGAGATATTCTTGTGTTCCTGATAGCTTAAAAAAAATGAAGATTTGTCCTTTCTTCATCGTCATCTAATTATTACACCTACATTTGAAAAATTACTTAAGATCATATAGGACATGCGTGTTTATTTTTAAGTGTTTGCCCCATTAAACTTTACTACTTTTAAAAACCATTTACTATATGTTATGTTCTAGTAGTTTTACCAAATTACTTCTTTGTATCATGTTAAAAACTACTTTATTGTTACATTATGGAATCCAATATAGACAGGCATAGCCTATCACCTTTATATTGTACATTTGTTATATTTCTTAACATCCTCACTAATGTTGGCTGGCTTCTCTTTTAGTATTGTTTACCCCTTTACACTTCTATATACAGTAGTTTTTTTTATTTGATGATGACCAAACCACACCTCAGAAGATGGAGAAGCGACGACATTCCATTCACCTGGGCTGTAGGAGGCTCGAACCATGGACTCCACGTGTGTGAGGTCGAAGCTCTATCGCCCAAGCTATTGTGCAGTCTTAAGTCTTTTTCTGTGTCTTAATCTTTTTGAAGCGACAACGTTTCACTCCATCCTGGAGTGTTATTGAGTCTTGTGTGAGGAACAGGTAAAAAGAGTGAGGTGAGGAGCAAGTATACACAGACTCAGACTTGGTTACAAGTGCTGCTGGGAGATAATATACCCATTAGTTGAAGTGTCATATCTGTGGAACAGAAGCAGACGCCACTATTGCACTACTTACTGGAATGTGAAGCAACTGAAGCCCTGCGCATCAAACTCAACATTAATCCAACGACAACAGCTCCATTGGATGCAAATTGCACAGCGATTATAATGATTAGAAAAGCAGTTTAGGAATGAGACACACTAGTGAACACTGTGCATCTACATCCGCCACCAAGATAATGTTATTAAAACAATACTAAAACCAGTGCACTAAAACAGAAGCGAAAAAGAAACAGGGAAAAAGGAACACCCCCCCCCCCACCTCCATTTAAAAGTTTGATCGAAATATCGCAGTAACGAGGTTATCGCGAATAACCAAACTCAATTACGGGCTCACTATAGCCCGTGCTACATGGATATTTCGTTCTGAGTAACTAAATCTAAAACAACAACAGGTAAGGCGAGGAGCGGGTAAAAGAGTGAGGTGAGGAGAAGGTAATAATAGGATGAATATAAGAATTATGTAAGAAAAGGATGAATGCAAGCATAAAGAAATAGGATGAATGCAAGCATAAAGAAATAGGATGAATGCAAGCATAAAGAAATAGGATGAATGCAAGAATAATGAAAGAATAGGATGAATGTAAGAATAAGATAAGTTAAAAGGTAAGAATAAGAAAAGGTGGGGGTAGGCATAAGCAACAGCGGGCAAAGCTTAAGTCAAGTCACGTTTGTTTAGAAGGCTGCGGCATCAGTGTACGTCCTATAAAAGGGAAGAGTCAACAGAAAATGGCACAAAGCTTTATAACATTAATGCTGCCAGATGGATGTGAACCACATCGTTCGCCAGCTCACCTTACAGTCAACGAAGTACTTCCCACTGATGCCGTCTACTTCCTCCGACACTGCCAGGTAGATCAACGTCTGGGCGCCAAGTTCTGCATCCTTTATAAATAATTTTATCATTTAAGACGTGCAGATAAATGGGTTCATTTTATATATTTTTCAAAATTATAATTAAAGCACTATTCACACAAATCACAATAACGTGATATAGCAAATTAACAAATCCACAAGGGTGGATTTGACCAGACCACACACTAGAAAGTGAAGGGACGACGTCGTTTCGACTTTACTTGACAATCGACTTGAGAATAATCCAGGATGGACCGAAACATCGTCGTCCCTTCACCTTCTAGTGTGTGGTCTAGTCAAACTACTTCAGCCACGTTATTGTGACTCATTGCCTCATCATGGCCCTTGTGGATTTTTTCAAATGCACTATTCGTTTGTGCAACAGATTGGACAAAAGCACTTTAAGTAGATAAAATACTTTTCCCATGAGCCACACTGGCCAGCCGAAATAGTACGGGAGAAGCCGGGTTCCTCCTCCTTTATTCAATATCTCCGTCGAGACCACTCCCGGGTGAACGCTGTTCGCTGTCACACCTGCGGGGTAGAGATGAACAGGTAAGCCAGATTCCACACGGGGGATTCCACATAGGTTGAGGTTTTCAATTTGACTAACTCACGTGTGTCGTGCAGCTTCCGGGAAAGTTCCACTGTGAAGAGGACGGTTGCGAGCTTGGTGTCACCGTAGACAGCAGTGCAGCCGGGGTATGGCGTCTTCTCATAGTTTAGGTCGTCTGGATCAAACGTCTGGCGGGCGAGATGCTGGCGGGAAGTTACGTTGATGATCCTACTTGGGGCGCTGGCTTTCAGTAGACCTGGGGATTTAAAAGGTATAATAGTTTATGATAGGATCACTTGGCATGTGATTCAGTGTAAAACGATAACATATCTTTGATGTTATTGCACTTCTTATTGCCTAAAAAGATATCATGTGCTGGTATTACCAGGGGGGTTTAATATTAAAAGCAACTTTATATCCAAGACATCTATTTTGATGGTCGTGGACGTTGTCCACGACCTATCCCGTTAACGATAGCCTACAGTGGTACAGTGGTAACTGTAGATTTGCCTGGGTTCTAGTCTGGCCCTGGGAGGATTGGCTAGACGCCAGTAAGTGTTCACCTCTGTTCACCCAGCAGTAATTGGGTACCAGGGCCAGAGACACGAAGCAGTTATGCAAGCACTTGCGAACCTGTACATCTTTACTCAATCTTTGGCGGCTTTGTTTATAATTACTAAACATTTAATGAGCTCCGAAGCACCAGGAGGCTGTTTATAACAATAAGAATTGATTGGGAAGAATTCATGCTTGTAAACTGTAATAAATGTAACCAAAGCCAAAGTCAAAGATTGAGGAAAGATGTATACGTTCAAAAGTGCTTGTGTAACTGGTTCGTGAATCTGGCCCCTAGTCGTTAACCAATTGGCGAGTCGTGTTCCAGGGAAATTTAATGGGGTAAGGCTTACTATGAGCTATGGGAAGGTAATGCTCTCAACATGCTAATAAGAGTCAGAAGTTGTCTGTTCCTATCCTTACGTGTTAAAGAAAGGGATCATTTTAGGACTTATTGGCATAAAGAAAATGTCTCAATTTGTCTGAGATTATACGCCAGACGCTTGAAGATAGCCTCAAACTCTGCAGGGTGACTTGTGACTGTATGCAGAGTGTCATAGGCTGGTTCACGTCGAGCCCCCCTCCCCCCCCCCCTTGCCCTGCTTTAAGAAGGACCAGCTACACTCAGAATACCAAACTCCGAGGAAATGTAAAATGTGGGTTTGATTGTACTGATGTTGATCCAACGATGCTAACGGTGACTGAATTTACATCTCCAGCCTTCAGGCAGGTAGGTAGGTAGGGGGGGGGTTATCTTCTTGAGGTTATCTTGAGATGATTTCGGGGCTTTTCAGTGTCCCCGCGGCCCGGTCCTCGACCAGGCCTCCTCCCCCAGGAAACAGCCCGTGACAGCTGACTAACACACAGGTACCTTTTTTACTGCTAGGTAACAGGGGCATAGGGTGAAAGAAACTTTGCCCATTGTTTCTCGCCGGCGCCTGGGATCGAACCCAGGACCACAGGATCACAAGTCCAGCGTGCTGTCTGCTCGGCCGACCGGCTCCCCGGTCTTGGGGTATTGTTGAGTATTAGTTTCTGATCTGTGGTTTGGACATCCGAAATGGAGGAGATTGGGAGACCCGGGTAACGCCGGGTAGCCGATCAGCTTTCTTGTATACATCGGTGACGTTCCAAAATGTTTCTAACCCTCTGAAGCCTACAGGTGGTGGTGGCTACACTACACTGTTGCTGGGGCAGGTGGTGGTGGTGGTGGTGGCTACACTACACTGTTGCTGGGGCAGGTGGTGGTGGTGGTGGTGGCTACACTACACTGTTGCTGGGGCAGGTGGTGGTGGTGGTGATGGTGGTGGTGGTGGCTACACTACACTGTTGCTGGGGCAGGTGGTGGTGGTGGTGGTGGTGGTGGCTACACTACACTGTTGCTGGGGCAGGTGGTGGGGGTGGTGGTGGTGGTGGTGGTGGCTACACTACACTGTTGCTGGAGCAGGTGGTGGTGGTGGGGGTGGTGGTGGTGGGGGTGGTGGTGGTGGGGGTGGTGGTGGTGGGGGCTACACTACACTGTTGCTGGAGCAGGTGGTGGTGGTGGTGGTGGTGGTGGCTACACTACACTGTTGCTGGAGCAGGTGGTGGTGGTGGTGGCTACACTACACTGTTGCTGGGGCAGGTGGTGGTGGTGGCTACACTACACTGTTGCTGGGGCAGGTGGTGGTGGTGGTGGCTACACTACACTGTTGCTGGGGCAGGTGGTGGTGGTGGCTACACTACACTGTTGCTGGGGCAGGTGGTGGTGGTGGTGGTGGCTACACTACACTGTTGCTGGGGCAGGTGGTGGTGGTGGCTACACTACACTGTTGCTGGGGCAGGTGGTGGTGGTGGTGGTGGCTACACTACACTGTTGCTGGGGCAGGTGGTGGTGGCGGCTACACTACACTGTTGCTGGGGCAGGTGGTGGTGGTGGTGGCTACACTACACTGTTGCTGGGGCAGGTGGTGGTGGTGGTGGCTACACTACACTGTTGCTGGGGCAGGTGGTGGTGGTGGTGGCTACACTACACTGTTGCTGGGGCAGGTGGTGGTGGTGGTGGCTACACTACACTGTTGCTGGGGCAGGTGGTGGTGGTGGTGGCTACACTACACTGTTGCTGGGGCAGGTGGTGGTGGTGGTGGTGGCTACACTACACTGTTGCTGGGGCAGGTGGTGGTGGTGGTGGCTACACTACACTGTTGCTGGGGCAGGTGGTGGTGGTGGTGGTGGCTACACTACACTGTTGCTGGGGCAGGTGGTGGTGGTGGTGGTGGCTACACTACACTGTTGCTGGGGCAGGTGGTGGTGGTGGCTACACTACACTGTTGCTGGGGCAGGTGGTGGTGGTGGTGGTGGTGGTGGCTACACTACACTGTTGCTGGGGCAGGTGGTGGTGGTGGTGGCTACACTACACTGTTGCTGGGGCAGGTGGTGGTGGTGGTGGCTACACTACACTGTTGCTGGGGCAGGTGGTGGTGGTGGTGGCTACACTACACTCTTGCTGGGGCAGGTGGTGGTGGTGGTGGTGGTGGTGACTACACTACACTGTGGCTAGGGTTCAAGCCAGATATTTCTACTCTGCCTAAATTACATAAGCCCGCCCTGCAAATACCCCAGCGCGTCCTCCTAAGGTTAACGTAAAGAAAATGGTAAAGTCTCCTCTCCTAATTTACCAGAGGACCCAAAACAGAAAACGGGACATTATGTCACTTTTGCCAGCCGCTTACATTTTCTAATACGACAATTTTTGGCCGTATGTAACGCTGAAGCCTCATGCTGTCCTCTGACTTAATCCGTCTCATAATTTAGGCATCATCAGCAAACATCGAGAGGAATGAGTCTATACCCTCTGGGAGATCATTTACGTATATCAGAAACAGGATAAGACCGAGTACAGAACCCTGTGGGACTCCGCTTGTGACTTCACGCCTGTCTGAGGTCTCACTCCTCACAGTAACTGCTTCCTATTGCTTAGGTAATCCCTTATCCACTGGAGCACCCTACCAGTTACTCTTGCCTGTTGCTCCAGCTTATGTACCAGCCTCTTATGGGTACTGTGTCAAAGGCTTTCCGACAGTGAGAAAATGCAGTCTGCCTGCACTTCTTTGCCTTGTTTAATCTTTGTCACCTGGTCATAGAATTCTGCTAAGCCTGTGAGGCAAGATTTGGCATCCCTGAACTCATGTTGGTGGTGTTACGAAGTTCCTTGTGCGTGTACGTGTGTGGGGTTGATTAGTTATTCGGATTTAATAAAAACTTTTTAATAAAAAAACTAGATTAAAAAAAAGTAGCCACAATACTTTAAATAAGTTAATAAACTTTTTGAACGTTAAGAAATCCTTCCATTAGACCCGACTTCATAATATAGGCTTGCCCAGTTGCTTGAACCCCGTGCTTGCTTGCACTCTGCACCTGCTGCAGAGTGCACGACCCACGTGACTCAACATTCAGGTATAACATTATAATGTAACAGGCGCATCAGGGAAGCAAGTAGTAATGAGGAGAGACAAGCTCACAGGCTGTCAGACGATGCAACACCAAAAAGGTCAAAGAAATTACAAAAACTAGTCTAGCAAGGATACTGGTCCTAACAGTATAAAGCCCAGTGATAACAGGAAGGGCAGAGATGTCTACAAGTTATGGCGTCTTCCTCCATAATGTCCAAATTCTGGCTTCAGCATGTGGAGAGTTGCTCAGAATTTTATATCGTGCATATTTACCCCTTTGCAAATCTACTAGCAAGGTCAGGAGAGTCGTGGATGGCAGCCCACGCCAATTAACAGGAACGAGCTCACACAAAGTTCACTAACCAGGTTATGTAGCAGACACCTTCAAGAAAGGTCACTCCAAGTTGACTTACCCAACAGCATATTGGTGAGAAGAAAGTGTCCAAAATGGTTGGTGGCCATTGTCAGCTCCAGCCCATCTGTTGTTAGTTTCTTCTCTGTCATAGGAAGTATTGCTGCATTATTCATCTGTCAAGAGTACAGAGTACATGTGTCAGGCCACACCACACTAGCCTCAGGCCACACCACACTAGCCTCAGGCCACACCACACTAGCCTCAGGCCACACCACACTAGCCTCAAGCCACACCACACTAGCCTCAAGCCAGCGTTCATCTGCTGTAATATTTATAATATTCTACATTCGCGATTCTTTTTTTTAAACAAATTGTTTAAATAATAGTCCAATTGTCACTGTTGGTACTATAATATATAAAATATATATATTTTTTAAATTGCTTAAAATATTAAAGTTCCACTTAATACCTAACAAGTAACTACTCAAGGAGCACAGTCGACTATTTTCCTCAGTTCTGATATATATCCATGCAACACAGGTTTTCTAAAATTAGATCCAGCCTTGCAAACCTGCTCACATTTTTGTAAACGGTAACCAAGTATTCAGAAACGACTTCCAGTTGATGTAGTATACACTGTCTTTGCTGAAGCTTTTGATAAGGTACCACAAAGATTTCAAAGGAAATTACAGGTATTTGGAATAAATGGTAGAATATTAGTGTGGATCAAACAATGGTTAAAACAAAAAAAAAGGGGGCGTGCTTATCGGAAATGAATGACTAGAGAATGAGAGGGTCCATGTTGGGGCCCAACCCTTATTGGTATACCCATCAAATGACTGGATGAGAATATTACAAACCACAATATATATTGCATGTGTAAAGAAAGAAATGTATATATCACTCCGGAGTATAGTGGTCTGTCCCTACTCTGGCGTTGAAGTCCCGGAGGATAATAATATCCGAGTGTGCTGTAAAGAGGTTGTCGAGTTCCTCAGATAACTTGTCATCTAGGTTGGTCAACGTTTGGGCATACGCACTGATCAGCGATGCACTCTTATTTCAAAATGGGAGCTGGAGCGTCATTAGGCGGTCGTTGATGCCCTCTGGGAACTTTCCCTCCCCTCCCCACCATCAACAACACCCTTCTCCTGGAGCCGACGTATCCCACGAACAGCCGGGAGGTGCCTGTGTCACCCCAACCCGTTCTCGCAAATTTAATAAGTCAATATTGACTTATTATTTGCGTGCATAGGTGACATACTAAACATAATAGTTTCCCTTGAAAAGCTTCATAGAAAACACCGACCTTACCTAACCTACTTAGTATGTTAAAATAAGCATCTTATAGCTTCGTAATTACAATTGTTACTTAACCTATTATAGGTATAGGTTAGGTAATAATTGTAATTACGAAGCAATAAGATGCTTATCTTAACATACTAAGTAGGTTAGGTAAGGTCGGTGTTTTCTATGAAGCTTTTCAAGGGAAACTATTATGTTAAGTATGTCACCTATGCACATATTTAATAAGTCAATATTGACTTATTAAATTTGCGAGAACGGGTTGGTCACCCGCATCACAGTCGTGTCGAGAGCAGCCTTCCACCACCACACCAACCACAGGCCGGCCTCAACACCGGGTTGATCCGGTCCCACCTCTCTCATGGTGCCTGATAGGACAAATAACTCACTATCCTCACACCCACACAATCCATACCCCCAGAACATCCTATACTGGAAGCCACCACACCCCACTTCTCGTGCACTTCTCTCCAACTCGACCGAAGCTTGCAAATGCACTTCTCAACCCACCTCACATGGGTGCTTCAACAGTCCCATCTGGAGCACACCCTCCTGTAGGTACAGGCTCAGGCAGACGACCATCAGCACTATGCTCATCACGAATCACTATAGTATCAGGAGCACCAACGTTACCAGAACTTAAAGATGGAAGAGTCACTCACTGAACACATTGATGCCATCGCCAAGTCCCGCACCACAAAATACAGCCAGATATCCAGGAAACCTGCATTTGAAACAGGTGCAAGGGTTTCACACTATACACTCTGCAGGTAATAACCCATCACCATCACAGATGACGAAACACTTCTCAAGAACTGCATATGAACAGCGCAGTTTCCGTTTAACGACTCTACCACCAGGCCCGACGTGTATTTGCCTACGCACTGTAAACAGTACCAAACCGAGGCAAAACACTATCACGTCGTCTCAACAGGCGAATCACTCACCAACGCTTAAAAAGTCTCTTTCCTAATATCCGAAATCTTTACCACGCCCACAAGTGACGGCAAGGGGAGCACCTTAAAACGACCCCCAAGTTTTGGACGACACCGACATCCTTATATTTTTCTAATTCTCTCCAAGCTATTAAATGCCGAATTCAAACGAGACTCCGGACTGGGGCACAGCACGTCCCCCAATACAGTGCACACAATAGCTTAGTCGATAGGGCTCAAACTCAAATTCTGTCTACATGGATCAAAAAGGCGCCCTACCATCACCCACGACCCCACACCACCAGCCACACTCGGGTCTCTACTTTACGACAGCGTATGCTCAACCCAGCCACACCTACCAGCAGACTCGCACCTCAACCAGGCAACACGTCCTCACCCTGGACTGTCAGCGCTCCATTCAACACGTGACGAAGCAGTTGGGCGGTCGGCCACCTCCCTGGGGGGGGGGGGGTCGGCCACCTCCCTGGAAAAAACGGGGGGGGGGGGGTCGGCCACCTCCCTGGAAAAAACGGGGGGGGGGCCGGCCACCTCCCTGGAAAAAAACGGGGGGTCGGCCATATCTCCCTGCAAAAAAACGGGGGGTCGGCCGTACCTCCCTGGAAAAAAACGGGGGGTCGGCCGTACCTCCCTGGAAAAAAACGGGGGGTCGGCCGTACCTCCCTGGAAAAAAAACGGGGGGTCGGCCGTACCTCCCTGGAAAAAAACGGGGGGTCGGCCGTACCTCCCTGGAAAAAAACGGGGGGTTGGCCGTACCTCCCTGGAAAAAACAGGGGGGTCGGCCGTACCTCCCTGGAAAGAAACGGGGGGTTGGCCGTACCTCCCTGGAAAAAACAGGGGGTCGGCCGTACCTCCCTGGAAAAAACAGGGGGGTCGGCCGTACCTCCCTGGAAAAAACAGGGGGTCGGCCACCTCCCTGGAAAAAACGGGGGGGGGGTCGGCCACCTCCCTGGAAAAAACGGGGGGTCGGCCACCTCCCTGGAAAAAACAGGGGGGGGGTCGGCCACCTCCCTGGAAAAAACAGGGGGTCGGCCACCTCCCTGGAAAAAAACGGGGTGGGGGGTCGGCCACCTCCCTGGAAAAAACGGGGGTCGGGGGGTCGGCCACCTCCCTGGAAAAAACAGGGGGGGGGGGGAGTCGGCCACCTCCCTGGAAAAAACAGGGGGGGGCAGTCGGCCACCTCCCTGGAAAAAACAGGGGGGGGGAGTCGGCCACCTCCCTTGAAAAAACAGGGGGGGGTCGGCCACCTCCCTGGAAAAAACGGGGGGAGGGGAATCGGCCACCTCCCTGGAAAAACAGGGGGGGGGGGGGAGTCGGCCACCTCCCTGGAAAAAACAGGGGCGGGGGGAGTCGGCCACCTCCCTGGAAAAAACAGGGGCGGGGGGAGTCGGCCACCTCCCTGGAAAAAACAGGGGGGGGGGGGAGTCGGCCACCTCCCTGGAAAAAACAGGGGGGGGTCGGCCACCTCCCTGGAAAAAAAGGGGGGGGTCGGCCACCTCCCTGGAAAAAACGGGGGGAGGGGGGTCGGCCACCTCCCTTGAAAAAACAGGGGGGGGGGTCGGCCACCTCCCTGGAACAGGGGGGGGTCGGCCACCTCCCTGGAAAAAACAGGGGGGGGGTCGGCCACCTCCCTTGAAAAAACAGGGGGGGGTCGGCCACCTCCCTGGAAAAAACAGGGGGGGGTCGGCCACCTCCCTGGAAAAAAGGGGGGGTCGGCCACCTCCCTGGAAAAAACGGGGGGGGGGGTCGGCCACCTCCCTGGAACAGGGGGGGGTCGGCCACCTCCCTGGAAAAAACAGGGGGGGGGGGTCGGCCACCTCCCTTGAAAAAACAGGGGGGGGTCGGCCACCTCCCTGGAAAAAACAGGGGGGGGGGGGTCGGCCACCTCCCTTGAAAAAACAGGGGGTCGGCCACCTCCCTGGAAAAAAACGGGGTGGGGGGGTCGGCCACCTCCCTGGAAAAAACGGGGGGTCGGCCACCTCCCTGGAAAAAAACGGGGTGGGGGGGTCGGCCACCTCCCTGGAAAAAAACGGGGTGGGGGGTCGGCCACCTCCCTGGAAAAAACGGGGGGGGGGGTCGGCCACCTCCCTGGAAAAAAACGGGGTGGGGGGGTCGGCCACCTCCCTGGAAAAAACGGGGGGGGGGGTCGGCCACCTCCCTGGAAAAAACTGGGGGAAGGGGGTCGGCAACCTCCCTGGAAAAAACAGGGGGGGGGAGTCGGCCACTTCCCTGGAAAAAACGGGGGGGGGTCGGCCACCTCCCTGGAAAAAACGGGGGGGGGGTCGGCCACCTCCCTGGAAAAAACGGGGGGAGGGGGGTCGGCCACCTCCCTGGAAAAAAACGGGGGGGGGGGGGGGTCGGCCACCTCCCTGGAAAAAACAGAAGGGGGGAGTCGGCCACCTCCCTGGAAAAAACGGGGGGTGGGTCGGCCACCTCCCTGGAAAAAACGGGGGAAGGGGGGTCGGCCACCTCCCTTGAAAAAAACGGGGGGGGTGGTCGGCCACCTCCCTGGAAAAAACGGGGGAAGGGGGGTCGGCCACCTCCCTTGAAAAAAACGGGGGGGGGGTGGTCGGCCACCTCCCTGGAAAAAACCGGGGGGGGGTCGGCCACCTCCCTGGAAAAAACGGGCGGGGTCGGCCACCTTCCTGGAAAAAACGAGGGGGGGGTCGGCCACCTCCCTGGAAAAAACGGGGGGGGGGGGGTCGGCCACCTCCCTGGAAAAAACGGGGGGGTGTCGGCCACCTCCCTGGAAAAAACGGGGGGGGGGTCGGCCACCTCCCTGGAAAAAACGGGGGGGGTCGGCCACCTCCCTGGAAAAAACAGGGGGGGGGTCGGCCACCTCTCTGGAAAAAACAGGGGGGGGGTCGGCCACCTCTCTGGAAAAAACAGGGGGGGGGGGGGTCGGCCACCTACCTGGAAAAAACAGGGGGGTGGGGGTCGGCCACCTCCCTTGAAAAAAAAACGGAAGGGGGGTCGGCCACCTCCCTGGAAAAAACAGGGGGGGGGTCGGCCACCTCCCTGGAAAAAACAGGGGGGGGGTCGGCCACCTCCCTTGAAAAAAAACGGGGGGGGGGGGTCGGCCACCTCCCTGGAAAAAACAGGGGTGGGTCGGCCACCTCCCTGGAAAAAACGGGGGGGGTCGGCCACCTTCCTGGAAAAAACGGGGGGGGGGGGTCGGCCACCTCCCTGGAAAAAACGGGGGGGGGTGGGTCGGCCACCTCCCTGGAAAAAACGGGGGGGGTGTCGGCCATCTCCCTGGAAAAAACAGGGGGGGGGGGTCGGCCACCTCCCTTGAAAAAAAACGGGGGGGGGGGGGTCGGCCACCTCCCTGGAAAAAACAGGGGGGGGTCGGCCACCTCCCTGGAAAAAACGGGGGGGGGGTCGGCCACCTTCCTGGAAAAAACGGGGGGGGGTCGGCCACCTCCCTGGAAAAAACGGGGGGGGTGGGTCGGCCACCTCCCTGGAAAAAACGGGGGGGTGTCGGCCACCTCCCTGGAAAAAACGGGTGGGGGGGTCGGCCACCTCCCTGGAAAAAACAGGGGGAGGGGGGTCGGCCACCTCTCTGGAAAAAACAGGGGGGGGGGGGTCGGCCACCTCTCTGGAAAAAACAGTGGGGGGGGGGGGGTCGGCCACCTACCTGGAAAAAACAGGGGGGTGGGGGTCGGCCACCTCCCTTGAAAAAAAAACGGGGGGGGGGAGGGGGTCGGCCACCTCCCTGGAAAAAACAGGGGGGGGGGGGTCGGCCACCTCCCTGGAAAAAATGGGTGGGGGGGTCGGCCACCTCCCTGGAAAAAACAGGGGGAGGGGGGTCGGCCACCTCTCTGGAAAAAACAGGGGGGGGGGGGTCGGCCACCTCTCTGGAAAAAACAGTGGGGGGGGGTCGGCCACCTACCTGGAAAAAACAGGGGGGTGGGGGTCGGCCACCTCCCTTGAAAAAAAAACGGGGGGGGGAGGGGGTCGGCCACCTCCCTGGAAAAAACAGGGGGGGGGGGGTCGGCCACCTCCCTGGAAAAAACAGGGGGGGGGGGGTCGGCCACCTCCCTGGAAAAAACAGGGGGGGGGGTCGGCCACCTCCCTTGAAAAAAAACGGGGGGGGGGGGGGGGTCGGCCACCTCCCTGGAAAAAAGGCTTCAATGGATGGGATGGGCCGGGTGGAATGAAAGACGACATCCTAATCAACCATCTTAATGCATTTATGCAAGTGAAAACATCAAGGGTAGCAGTAGTAGTGCCATCAGACAAGAAATATTTTGTGCATTTAGGTAGACTAAAATAATCATGGAACCTAGGAGACTATACAGAATTGAGGAGTATTCAAGTGTGATTAAAGCTGCTTCCCCAACAGCGAGAAGAAACAAATTCCAGTGTTACCGTTTTATTGTTTAACAGCCATTTGACATTTCTGCAGAATATTCATACAATCATTCTCCACTCTCCCATAGTTTAAGAATGCTACCGTTTCTCACAAATGCCGAGGATGACATCTCAAATTTCACAACAACATTATTCCGAAGCATTGGAACACCAACCATATATTTCAATAGCCCGTCCTTATCAACAAAAGGCCAAATTCTCGTTAATCCCATCTTAGCTATATAAATTTCTAAATTTTTTGTGATTAATTATTCTACACTGCAGTGGATTTTTCATCCAATAAAATCAGTCCGCCATAATGGAGGTGAAGGAGCCCATTATGTCATGCACGCCAGCACACACATTTAGAGTAGTGCACAAACACCACCGTCTGTTTAGAGAGTGAAGCTGAGGTTTCACCCCAGACACGCTAAGGATGGTAGAAATAGCCAAAGTTACTCTATCCCTTTGAGATGTATTTTATTGGCTCAATAAACGCACTTTAACAGACACGCTCTCATGTCCCGTGTCTGGTGCCGGACTAGCCATCTGTGGGAAATTTCCCATATTAATCATAAATTCTAATACAATAGGCAAAAAATAAAATGCTGCCGTTTTGTATTAATTCAAATATAAATTAAATACTTTAGTCACCAGAACAAAATTGTATATGTTGCAAATTCGTTCCAGAAAGAGATTATATTGCCACGTCGCAATAATAAATTTGACACCCATATAATTAATACTAAACCCAATGGTCGTGACAAACTAACAAAATATACTGTACTAAATTATCAGTTATCAAATTAATCAAAATTACCTCATCCAATTATCAATAAAACCCATTAAGAACCATTCTGGGGAGACATCCCTGGGCAAGGAGGGGAGTAACCATCAAAACCCGGAGCTGAAAGAGGCGTCAACCGTGATCCATGGTTGTGCACCAAATTTATTCTGGCGGAGTTGCGCAGTTATCACCATCAGTTCCGGGGAAGAAGTCATTGTTGTGTCGTTGGTCAAAGACAAAAGGAACCAGCCACAGCGAGTCGATTCCCCCCGAGTCTAATAATTAGTGTGCTCCCTTGCTAAACAAGATAGGACTAAAAATAACTTAACCGACTACAAATAGCCTATGTTCGGTTATTCACATATTAGATTTATTGGCCAATTATTTCTTAATGTGCAGTCGTTATGCAGCAGGAAAACAACACCCAAATGGGTAAGATTGAATTAATTATAATTAATTATTCCTCGTGTCATAATTGTATTATATCTGTTACTGGCATTTGTTACGATGTAACATTTCGGCAGGTAATTTGTGATTACTGGAGAAATTAACAGAGCTGGAACATCCCATGACCACGAGGACGCCACTCATACCCGTCCTCCATGGACTAACACCTGTCCAGTATGGACTAACACCTGTCCAGTATGGACTAACACCTGTCCTGCAGGTGCCTAAGAGCGTCTACTCTTGGATAACCAGCTTACACACTACAGAAACAGACACTGTTCTAAATTATTACTAACCATTACAGTAGAATAACAGTTAAGATCTACTGCATTACACACAAATCACAATAGCGTGATGCATCAAATGAACAAATCCACAAGGGATTCGAACCTAAGTTCGAGAGCATCCCAGGCGCTGCCTTAATCGACTGAGCTACGACATGATTCAGTAGAACTTCTGGTTTCAACTCTTTTTTTTTTTAACCATGTCGTAGCTCAGTCTATTAAGGAAGCGTCTGGGAAGCTTTCGGATGTAGCTTCGAATCCTCGTCACGGCCCTTGTGGATTTGTTCATTAGATCTACTGTTTAATTACGGTATGATTACATAATATAATTTAAAGCCTCCCCCCAAGTGTGTGAAGTGAAAGTTTATCAGTTATCTTAAATATTAAAACAATATAGTCCGCTTTGAAGAAACAAATAATTGAAACAAATAATCCATTGAAGATAATTAAAATATTGATTATTCACTGGTAGATTTCCCCACCCCATCTACTTTAACAGGGAGCTTCACTTTAACTATTATTACTTTGATATATTCTCTATGGGGCCTTTTGATTACATGGCCAAGCAGTTTTATAGAACATAGGTAGGTATTCAATGTAGGATTTTCGTACATTGTTCATTTATAGATACACTAACATTCCAAAATATATATAACAACCGTTAGATAAATTTTATGAAATTTTGAAACAATGAACTAATCAAATTCAGAATAATATTTTATCCATCTGTAAACCAAACGAGGCCAACACATAAGTAGGGTAAACTTGTGCCTTACCAGGACATGAAGAGCCTTCTCTGTAGCAAGGATGTCTTCAGCAAACTTTCTGACCGAGGAGAGATCAGAAGTATCCAGCTGGCGGACCTCCACCTTCCTGTTACCTGTAGTCCTTATGATGTCGTCTGAAAGTGTGACATTGGACGAAGCTGTGGGATGGCAGTCACATGAATGTCATCCCACAGCGTTCCCGCCTCTAATTATTGTCATGCACATCAAGGCGGGAACACTACTACTACAAACAAGATCAAATGTCACATTACAATCTGGTTCCCATACAAATATAAATATTGAATTGTGTACAGCTATTACACTGGTTAACCAAAGCAAAGCTCCAATAGTTTATTGTCGAGTCAGTGCCCGACAAGAGTAAAATACGAGGTGTTGACCCACTACGGAGCAAAACAACCGGTGAGAACCGTGTCTTTCTCCACATCAACACTAAACTGGACAATATAAAATAATTATTACGAAATAATTATTAAAATACCTGCAACCTTTTGTGCCTTGTTAGTGTTCCTGCAGGCGAGGATGACACGGGCTCCTCGTCTTGCAAGGTCTCGTGCAGTTTCCTTCCCGATGCCTGCCAGGAAGGAACCTTATAATGGTTAGTTTTATTTCAATCAGCTAATTATTTTAAAGAATCTCACCGCATATGCAATAGTCTCCACATTCACTAGTTATGGGTTATGTAAGTAATTATCAAAAGATGGCACCAAACTGAGAAGGCTATGTAGCACCATCGAATGTGTGGAAAAAATCCGAGGGCGCTATGGGTTATGGAATTCTTTGATAAACAACCTATATATTCAAGAGGATAAATACAGTGATTTTGCTCGTTTAGTATTATAAATGACAGACCTGAACTGCAGCCAACAATAACTAGTACATTTATTACAAAACATTTGTCCCACAAAAAATCTAAATCTTAAAACAAAAACCCTTTCCAATTTTTTCCCCCAACCATAAATAATGCGCCATCTTTATGTCAGCGAAATGTTTACAAGTTTTACCTACCGGCTGAAGCTCCGGTGATGATGACAGTTTGTCCCAAGAGTTTCCTGCGAGAGGAACACCGGCCAGACTGGTACCTGTAGCCTAGCCTTACAGCCAAGCCTACGGCCGCTGTAGTGGTCAACGCCACCCATAAAACCCAAATCATTTTTTTTAAAAGGTTACTGTAACCTGGGTCTACAGGCAAGGATACAGAGCCAAGCAAGTTTAAAAATAAAGCATTATCAAAGAATACAGTGAAAGGCCGGTGCTCGTCCTCTGGGTATCCAGATCTAATGTCGACTCTGCAAGAAGAGATACAAGAATATAAGACACGAGGAAACTATTGAAAGCTTGGAGGCCTGGTCGATGACCGGACTGCGGGGTCGCTAAGCCCCGAAATCACCTCATCTCAAGGGGGTGTAGGTACGAAAAAAAATCGGGAAACAATCGTAACATTTTGAAATATTTACAAAAATACTACGTAGTTCTGGCAATACTCTGGTGCAATCAGAATTATTTTACGATATAAATTTACGTATTTATGGCACATTTGCATGTGTAATTGTGCAGAATCCGGTGCCCCACGACTGTGGCGCGCCAAAGGTATTGCGTCGTACGTTCTAAACGTCAAATTTTTCGTAATAGCGTCGTAAATAACTCTGTATGTATGAAGAGTAAATATACACTCATTGGCAACCTTCTCATCCCTAGTAGGGATGAGCGAGGTACCAGCCCTCAGTCACCTCGTGTGTCCTATTGAGGACTGTCGACGCGCCCTCCATTCTCGCTCCTGGAATAGCGCATTGTTGCGTCTACTGCACAATGACAAAGAGGAAGTGTCAGAAGAGCAGCAAATCTGGCACTCGGTCGCCGTCTTTATCAGCAAAGGAAAGGCCCTTAAGCGCAAAGAGTAATATCAAGTGAAAGATCGTGTTGGCCTCCCTGCATCAGCTGTGAGGCTGACACCGACAACCCCCTCCTAAACCCTCCTCACACACCTTCCTCAACCCTCCTAGACCCTCCTCACACACCTTCCTGGACCCCCCCCCTCACACACCTCTCTCCACCAAGCCGAGACAGGATCCTGAGGAAGGTGAACCGGGCAATGGGACAGGTGCCTATTAGTGCCCATTCCAGTGCCACCTTGAGGACCCACAACTCGGATCAATTACAATAGGTTAGAATGTTTTAGGGTTATAATAAATAGGTGCAGGCATTATATATATACATAATATACACACACACATTATATATATATATTATATATATATATATATATATATATATATATATATATATATATATATATATATATATATATATATATATTTATATTATTAAATATGACCGAAAAAGTAAGATTAATAATTCTAACACGAATTTTCTCGATCTTTCGTACGTTTCTTTTCACTGTTGGTGGTAATTCAAAAATCAATTCTCCAAAATTCATTTTTATTTCTAGTCTGACGCGACACTTGAGCTCGTTTCGTAAAACTTATTACATTTTCAAAGACTTTAGTTTACACATACACAACTGAATAGAACTTTCACATCTCCGATTTATTTATATCTACATTTGAGTGAGGTGGATGGGGTGAGGTGGTATTAATAGGGTATTAAATTCATCAACACAAGACAGAACACGAAACAATGGGTATTGAATGGAAGTGATTGTAGAAAGCCTCATTGGTCCATATTTCTTGATGCTTCTATATTGGAGCGGAGTCTTGAGGTGGGTAGAATATAGTTGTGCATTAATTGGCTGTTGATTGCTGGTGTTGACTTTTTAATGTGTAGTGCCTCGCAAACGTCAAGCCGTCTGCTATCGCTGTATCTATCGATGATTTCTGTGTTGTTTACTAGGATTTCTCTGGGGATGGTTTGGTTGTGGGAAGAGATTATATGTTCCTTAATGGAGCCCTGTTGCTTATGCATCGTTAAACGCCTAGAAAGAGAGATGTTGTTGTCTTGCCTATATACTGGGTTTTTTGGAGCTTACAATCCCCAAGAGGGCATTTGAAGGCATAGACGACGTTGGTCTCTTTTAAAGCGTTCTGCTTTGTGTCTGGAGAGTTTCTCATGAGTAGGCTGGCCGTTTTTCTGGTTTTATAGTAAATCGTCAGTTGTATCTTCTGATTTTGTCTGTAGGGATAACGTTTCTATTAACAATATCTTTCAGGACCCTTTCCTCCGTTTTATGAGCTGTGGAAAAGAAGTTCCTGTAAAATAGTCTAATAGGGGGTATAGGTGTTGTGTTAGTTGTCTCTTCAGAGGTTCAGAGGTTAGAAACATTATCCCTACAGACAAAAATCAGAGGATACAACTGACGATTTACTATAAAACCAGAAAAACGGCCAGCCTACTCATGAGAAACTCTCCAGACACAAAGCAGAACGCTTTAAAAGAGACCAACGTCGTCTATGCCTTCAAATGCCCTCTTGGGGACTGTTAGCCTCAAAAAACTCAGTATATAGGCAACACAACAACATCTCTTTCCAGGCGATTAAAGATGCATAAGCAACAGGGCTCCATTATGGAACATATAATCTCTTCCCACAACCAAACCATCACCAGAGAAATCTTAGCAAACACAGAAATCATCGATAGATACAGCGATAGCAGGCAGCTTGATATCTGCGAGGCACTACACATCAAGAAGTCAACACCAGCAATCAACAGCCAATTAATGCACAACTATATTCTACCCACTTCAAGACTCCGCTCCAGTATATTAGCATCAAGAAATATGGGCCAATAGGCCCTCTGCAATTACTTACATTCTTACCTTCAATACCCATTGTTTCGTGTTTTATCCTGTATTGAAAGTTTTGTTCACCTCATCCAAAACTGTTGTAACATATCACCTCACCCAAAATGCGGGTATTAAATGAAAAATGAAAGCTGTTTAAATCATAGCATAAGTAAGAACTCTGTTTAGTGTTTGCAGGTAATAGTTTGTGTGTAAACTAAAAGTCTTTGAAAATGTAATAAGTTATTACGAAACGCGTTCAAGTGTCGCGTCAGACTAGAAATAAAAATGAATTTTGGAGAATTGATTTGTCCAATTACCATCAACAGTGAAAAGAAACACAAGAGAAAAAATTTGTGTTAACATTATTAATCTTACTTTTTCGGTCATATTTAATAATATATGTCTACAGGAAAGACTGTTACCAAAATATACTAGTATATATTATATATAATTATATATATATATTATATATATGCGCAATTTTTTTTCCAATTTTTTTTCCGGTTGTTATCAGGGGAGTTGCATTGAGCTTACACACCTTGCTGAACGGATGCCTATCTGCAAGGGTGTAAATTATGAACGAAATTGGTCTACGTCAAGCTCTGCTACAGGTGGCCAAACTTTGATCTTATCTTACTCATGTAAGAAATTTTCAACTTCAAGGCGTTTCACAGCTTTCATTTATTAATCAATTTACATGCAAATTACACCTTATATGTAGAGTTTGTGCTTCTACAATTTCACGTAACACTTTAATCCAAAGTCCATATATTGATTTTATAAATATTGATAAACATCATATATTGCATATTTTTGGAAGGGGAACTTTGAATAGTTGTATTATTGCACTAAACACTTTTTTGATAAAACTGCTAAGTGAAATTCTTTATTATATGCTAATGTGATATCTGACTTATTGAAATGATTTTAGTTGACATGTGTTCCTAGAAATGTTTCGAAAATGTTGAAAATTCGTTGCATAATACGTTGTGTATTTTTTTTCTCACTTTTCTATTTAGGGTGTGATGCTGAAACTTTGACCAGTTGCAGCCCTTACCATTAACGGTTTGTAAATAAATTTTTAACAAAATTGAACAACTTGTTACTTTCCTGTACTGCCCCCCCCCCCCCTCAAGGTATGGTGGGGAGGACGAGGGGATGGGGGAGCGAGGATGGTTGGGGAGGATAGGGAAGGGTTGCTGTAGCTCAGCTGAACCACAGCAACGCATGGCCAGGTACAGCTAGTAACAAAACATGACTGCTTCATAATACGGAACTAAATAGTAAACTACCAGGGGTCTGGGAGCCAAACTCTCACACATCAGCGACGCGCACACCACCCAACTGATCTGACAATAATAATAATTATAATAATAATAAAATAAAATTCTTAAACTCAAAACTGTAGAGATGTAAATGCTGTATCATGTCTATAACGACCTGTCACGGAGGTCTTCCCATATTTTGATTGTTGCCGCCGAAGGCGGCTAGTTTATTGTGCACCCCATACTCATCCTGTGAGCGGTAGCGCAAAAGCATTACAGAGGGCACAAAAGGTCTTTATCAGACCTCATCTTAGATTATTACATAAACAATTTCTTCAATTCTTCACACCTTATAGATACAATGTCAGCTAGTTACAGAGAAAGTGCTATTACAAGAGCTACATATTTACAGTAAGTCATTATACATTAATGGTAGGTCTTGTCGTTAATACTTTTATGAGATTCAGAGGCCGCCATTGTTCTTTTGTACTTTATCAGTCTGCAGTTTCAGGAAAGCAAGTATGTCTACATACCGGTTGTAGTGCTTTATTACAGCTTCTTTTTCCTCTTCAGTCAGCACATCACCTGTCACCATTTCTTTAAATGTGTCACGGCGGAACCATCTGGGATGTGGTGGCGTGCGCGGCCCGAGGCGGGCATCCACGTCCAGTTGAACTTCGTCACTATCACTACAAGCGTCACTGGTTTCACTTTGTTCTTTACCACAGGAAGCAGTCATCCTGGACACTTAACTCGCACAACAATAAACTCATCCTAGGGCTTACTGACGGAGCCCAACTAGTCCAGCATCGTATCAACAAACTGGGGCCAGATTCACGAAAGCACTTACGAACGTGTACATCTTTCCTCAATCTTTGACGGCTTTGATTACATTTATTAAACAGTTTACAAGCATGAAAACTTCCCATTCAACTGTTGTTATTGTTATAAACATCCTCCTCGTGCTTCGGAGCTCATTAACTGTTTAATAAGTGGAAACAAACCCGCCAAAGTTTGAGAACAGATGTACAGGTTCGTAAGTGCTTGCGTAAGTGCTTTCGTGAATCTGGCCCCTGGACCTATAACACCACCTCCCACGAGGACACACCCACCACACCAGTACCAGGCCCCAAGTGTAAAAAATCCCCCCTGCACAGAACATTTGGTTCCTTTACAATCCCATTGAACTACAACAAACCATATCCCCAGACCTATCTCAAATCCTTATCCTCATCCCTTCCAAGTGTGCAATGGCTTTATACTTTCATGATGGTGCCTTCCCTTC